CCTATAGTATAAATCGATGATACAATAAAAAAGATTCTAATTTTCTCCCTCAACATGTGTCATCGTTCTTCAAATTACTTCTTTGGCCAGTGTTTCAACTCTCTTGTAGTATAATTATTTCCTACGTTCTTTTCTTCGTAGGTCACTGGTGAAGAGATGACAAATCTAGTGGATCAATGAGGTGTTGCAGAGTTGGTCTTTGTCCTCTTATTTTAAAGATTCAGCTCGCCGCTTTGGTGGTAACTACAGATGTATCCGTCTTTTCTTGTCTTGCCAGTGTGGTTGTTCTCCCTTTGCAGATCACGGCCAAAGGGGTTTCAATGATGTTATGTATGCAATATAGGGTTAAGCTTTTGCTCTCTCCGTGTTGGGAGGTTTAGTTTGCTTTATTTTTTCGGCTGAGTTTTGGATGTTCTTTGTTTGTTTTCTTTCGGCTGTGCTATGGTTTTTGTGTAGATATCCTACGGTGGGCTTGTCTTCTTCATGAATGGACATGGGCCATCCGGTGTCAGATTTATTCTTATTGCTTCGCCTTTTGATTTCCTCTCTGTCTTGAGTTTACTTTCACTTATTTTTGGTTCGGCAGCGTGTTGTTCTGATTCTCGGGTTTAGTATGGTCTAATTTGAGTGAGTTCGCTTTCTGACTCTATTGTAAGATTTATTCGAGATGTTGGTTTGTTCAAAGGAGTCTACCTTGGGGTCATCAAGTCGGGTCTTGCCCAACATTGCTATTTTCGAGAGTCTTTATGGTTTCTCCATATTGCCGATTTAGTTTTCTAGGAACCTTGTGTGATGAGGTAGATTAATTCGCTACAGAAGGATTCGCTTATCGTCTATTTGGGTTTCTTAGCCTTTTTCGACATGCTTTTTGCGTTTGATCCCTCAAGATTTAGGTAGTTATTTTGGCGAGGTTTTTTTGTATTAGGCTCGATTTCTAGTTGTGGTTTCTCTAGTTTTTAGTCCCGGGGTTTCGATTCCACTAGTTTTGCGACCTTGTTTGTGTTTTGGTAAAATTTATGTTTTTTTCGCAAGGTTTAGACTATGAAATACTTGTAGTCTGTAGATTTAGACACAGGATTTAGTAGTAGTCCTTCGGTTTAACCTCATGGCTTTAATTGTGAGTCGTTTGCTTTTGTATCCCTTGTAAATTTTATTATCAATATATATTTCAAATGGGGAAAAAATCGATAATATAATAGATTTAATTTTACATTGGTCAATAATTTTTTGAAAATCATATTAGAGGTTCAAATTATCAAACAATGTTAAATTTAAAATCGGTTATCTTGAATTTTGTATTTTTCTTTATATATATATATATAGAAACTTTAGAAAAACAAAATTTAATCGTACAAAAATAATATTTTTGAGGAACCAATGAAAAAGACTCTTTAATAATATTGTACACATTGTAGTCATTTTGTAAATTCAAGAATTACTAAGAATGTACACATTGTAGTCATTTTTATTACTTTTTTTTTGGTCTAAAGTCATTTTTATTACTAATATATATATAAACTAGTTCAATCCGTTTAACAATGTATAAATTTCTTTAAAATTTTGGTTTATCTTGAATTTTTTTTATTTTCGTATATATGTATAAACTTCAAAGAACCAAAATTTAATCTTATAAAAATAATATTTTTGAGGAGCTAAATTTTGTTTTTTTGTCAACGAGGAGCTAAATAAAAAAGAGAATTTTTAATATTGTATCCAATTGTAGTCCCTCTGTAAGTTCAAGAAGTACTCAAAAATGATTTAATGGGAGAAACCAAACCTTTTCATTGTTTTTTCTTCGGTCAACCTCTTCACGTGTTCTTGCTACAGTAAGTGAAATATGTCAACTGTAAGAAAAATCTAAGAAAGAAAAGGCATAATATTGGACATGTGAGTGCACGTGAAGGATGCTTCCGTCTGATAAACCCAAATTAACTGCTTAATGTTTTGAAAACAATAACCATTTTATTGTTTAAATCATTTGACCCCTAATTACAAAATTATTGTTCTGTGTTTTCATTTTCTCCAAGACTCACGTCTTAACATGCATTACTGCACACAAAGAAGCAAGATTCAAGATCAAGAACATGTGGGCACTTTCGATCTCATCAATTTCACACTCTTGGTAAATCGAAATACGAATTTTCCTTTCTGAATATGTAAATATGTTTACACTATACTACATATGAATGTTATATATTAATCACATAGTCAAAAGTTTGGTCGTATAATCAAAATTTTCCAGTAAGAATGTGAGAGCTTCAAATACAAAAGGTTTGAAGTATTTTATTACATAACTGAAAATTACAAACAGCATTGATTTCGATTTGTACACAACTCTTGTGTTGTATTACTTTATTCTACAACTCTATGAAATTAGGAGACATTGTCAAATCTATAAACTCAGAAACTCTTCGCCTTTTCATTGCTGATGATCCAACTCTGCAAGACGGTGATGGAGTCATCAGATCTATTACCTCGACATCAGAGGTTGATGTAATAAGGTTGCTTCTTCTCCAACAGTCTTTTTCCTTAACGGATCCTTCAGTACTATGTGAAACTTCATCTTCAACACTCTCATCTAGTAAGCCAAATCCAGTGAAATTTGCTAACCTGTCATCATCATCGAATACAGTTTCGGTTTCTTTAGCTTTTTCAAAATGTCGGTCTTGAAGTTCTTTTTCACCCGGATACAAGTCATTTGATGAGCTTGCGCTTGAATTCTCAGGCTGGCTTTGGTTGCTACCATCATCATCCTCCTCCTCTTTCCCTGCATTACCCTCGGGACTCTCTTCATCTTCGAGTTGAGAATTGTTGTCTAGTTTTGCAAAACACGGAAGATCATCCATAGGACAAACTTGGGCTTTCATGTGTAAAGGCAAACTCGGAGAAAGACCCCCATGGTGTGCATATTTTGTCGAGAAGTAATTGACTGTGAGGTTTAAACTGGTCACCAACACACAGAGGATTATATAAGCTATGTCTACACTTTGACAAGTAAAACGGATATTGCATCGCATAGCAAAGTATATAAAGACAAGAATAAGCTTCCTTACCTATTCCAAGATGGAAGATTTAGCATTGTGTATGCAAGCTTAATCTTGCTTGCAAGTCCAGAGAAAGATTTGAAAGCAGCAGCAGCTTCTCTCACAGCCAGCGATTCTCTCGGATGTTGCCACGCCCACTCAAACTGCAACCGAAATCCCAACAGAAATGCTCTCATCAGCAAAACAGATCTACTTATCACCCATTATAATGCAAAGAGGCAACAGATTGAGAGGCCTCAATTTTGAGAAAAAATGGAAGTAAAAGCAAAGATCTTTTGTCCGGAATCGGAAAGTATTATCCTAAGCGTGAATCGTAAAGTCGGTATGTCTGCGAGGGAAAAAACAAAGGACCTGAAGGGCAGAGACGTTGGTAGGGAAACCATAGATACAGAGAACCATTTCCCATGGACGTTTCTTCTTAGTCCTCCATGCACCGCTAGTAATCTCTCCATTGTGCTGCCTTATCCTTCGCTTCGGGTTAACTGTAAACCTGCAAAACCAGATTGTGTAATCCTTTATTTGCCATGATAAAGCACCAATTTTTAAGCAGTAAACCAACAGCTACAATCCTACCAAAACCCAGAAATGTTCGAATCCTTCATCAATATAAATTTTCAAATTACACAAACAAGTTTTGTTCAAACAATCATCAAATAAGTAAACCCAGAAATGTAAATACTTTTCTCGAATCCTTCATCAATCTTAACTTTTTCAGATTACACAAACCAGTTTTGATCAAACAATCATCCGAAAATCCCAATTCATTCCAACATCGGATTCGATCTTCAGTTCCAAGTGTACGGATCATCAAATTGGGGAAAGAAAGCGAAACCCAGAAAAAGCAAAAAGGAAAGGAATCGATGAGAAAGAGAAAGCATAATAACCCGATATAGGTGTGACCCTTGTGACGAGGGCTAAGAGAGGTCAAGATGTAACAGGCGAAGAAGCCTTTCCCATCATCATCATCCTCAGCGACGGGATCTAGGGTTTTCGGATCCTCCTTTCGCTTTCTTCCCCTTTTCTCTCTCATCTTTCTCTCAAATTCGACCGTTGGTAGAGACGACAGTAAGAGTAACTTTTTATTTACTTTATAAAACAAAATCCGTTATCCGTTGAGGACTCTAATGTCCATTAAAACTAAGGCCCAATTTTTAAAACGAAATGGCCCAGTTTGGAAACTAGAAATTTTCTCTTGCGTATTCAAAAACTAGCAAGAGTAACTAATTTGCGCGAGTGAAGTCATTATCACTAATATGATCAGATAGGTGGCGAATCCGGATCGCATAAGCTATTGAGATCATGTTGATATTTTTTGTCTTTTCATTGAAAACCCGATAGATGTTCGAATCGCCATGGGCCTGGGCCGAACTCTTCTACTAGGCCGACACTGCCTTCGTGAACCCAATCTGTTTTCCTCCCAACAAAGCTCTGGATTAATTAAGATGTAGGCCAGGTTCTGGTGACGGGTGCTAAATCCGGTACCCCCAATAGATATATCAAGCGATTAGAGGCAGGTCAAGCTATATTATTTAAAGCGTTACTATATTATTGACTATGCAACACACTAGATGCCATATACCGATTTTTAGAAAAAGATAATAAAACATCATGTGAATTTGTGAATAGTGATAAGTTGAACTTTACTCTTCACAATCTGGATACGAGAAATCATGAG